GATACTACACAATATAAGAGTCATAGTACTAGAGCAGCATCAACATCTCATTTAGCATCCCAACAATTTGACCTTAAAGATATCTTGAATGCAGCTGGATGGTCAAAAGAAGAGACTTTCAAACGTTTTTACCATTTCAAAGATAACAATGAATTTAACGTTGGAAGTGCTATTATGAATACACTATCCTAAACAATTGCATGGTCTATTTGTATAATCATTTTATTATGTGATATTTCCTTATACTGTACATTGTGTTTTTTCTTTCTTGCTGTTTATTCTTCGGATATAATATTGGTGCAATGCCAGCTCTAAATTCTCGTACAACTACGTAACGACTATAGCTAATGACGTAATAGAATTGGAAATTAAACGAGACTTACCTGTAAGTAGCCTGCGGTGCAGACGCTTCGTATTTCATAATGAAAGGGTTTAAGCTTAAACCCTTTCATTATGAAATACGAAGCGTCTGCACCGCAGGCTAACCTGTAAGTCGAAGTTTGATTGTAATTCTATAAGTCATTAGCGAGGAGTGGAGGAGTTGTAGGCCCACCCGTGAAATTACACCCAGGCCCGATTACCTCCTCCACTCCAGGCATTGTACCAATATTAATGCTCTAAATACTGGTTAACTCATGCGCGGTACTGTCTCTCCTACAACTCCTGCACTCCTCGCTAATGACTTATAGAATTACAATCAAACTTCGACTTACAGGTAAGTCTCGTTTAATTTCCAATTTATTAGTAATAAATATGTGTATATAACATAGGTATATAAATTAATATAACGCAGCGAATTGGCGCCAAGCAGTATATATAAACGCGGCTGAAATACGATATTAAAATCTTGAATGTGCCGTATCACCCGTATGATTTAATTATGTTTTAGGATTTAAAGCCTTTAAAAATGCTTTGTCGTTTGTATTTGTACTTGTACTGCATCACAACGCAGTGCGTAAGTGAACAGATTCCACATGTGAGGTTGTCTTGTATATATTTTTGCCTTCTTTGATAAACATTATTAAACACGCAAATGTAGTGGGACCACGGGTGGGACGCACACTCGCACATGTTAAATGTCACCTGCATGTCATTGTCATTGCCCTTTAACCAACCCCGCGGAAAAACGTCTGCGCATGCGTCCACCTTACCTGTAATAGTATTGCGAACTTGATGAGAAGCTGTTCCGAACGTTTCCGAAGGCTCAAAATGGCGGTAAAAAGGAGTGACTTCATTGTGCGTCTTTACAGCAAGATTTC